CTCTAGTTTGATATCCAATAGTCCATCTATTATTTACCAATCTATCTATCATCTATCTACCCATCCTTCCATCCATCTTTCCATCCATCCATTCACTCATCTCTAGTTTGATATCCAATAGTCCATCTTTTATTTACCAATCTATCTCTCATCTATCTACCCATCCTTCCATCCATCTTTCCATCCATCCATTCATTCACTTATCTATTCACTCCTCTTTTCATGCTTCCTTCCATCCATCCATTCATCCATCCATCCATCCCTCCATCCATCTTTCTACCCTTCCTGCCTGCCTTCCTTCCTCCCATCTTTCCATCCATCCATCCATCCATACATCCATTTGTCTGTCTAGCTATCTCTCTCTCTTCTTTCAAGTATTTATCTCTTACAGATATCTTCATGATTATCTACATTGTGGAACAGAATGAAAAACAGCACAGGTTTCAACCTCAGCATCGAAATCTTCTGCAGAATCTCATCCCTCTACTTGTTAAAAGATACCTTCAAACAGGAAAAATGCTACTGATTTTAAATTCTGTGCTTCTCAATCAATTTATGTGATTTCCTTCTTTCCCTAACCAAGTTGATTGGCAAATATAATCTTAAAATATTACTCTCAAGTGCCTTTCATTTTTTATGCATTCTTTTCCTTTTAAATAACCCTCTGGCCTGTGGGATATTTTCATTTTAAAAACAGAGAGAAAGTATGAGAGTGTCTGAGAATGATATAAATATGCTGAGAAACAGCCCAGTGACTCTCACGAAAGGAACGGAGGGGCAGGGCACGTATGAGATTTTCCTGAAAGAAGAGATCTTTTCTTCCTATTATGCTAATAAAACGAGCAGGTTTCACATGTACTTACAGACTTGTCTCCGTTATTCACACATGTCTGGTGTGGCTTTGCTGTTCGAGCATCAGGGGGTCCCTTCCATGTTTTGCATCATGGACCCAGAAGGAAACATGGAGATCATCCAATGGCCTTATATCAAGTGGGGAAACCGAGGCTGGACGTGTGACTGATGGCACAGCTATTCAGAAGCAGGATTGGGGCTACAGAGCCAGTCCCGGGGCCCCCTCTTCTGTCCTGACTTCCTGTTCCGCTGACCCTTGGTAACTACACATTCATCACACAGCTCATGGGTTCTCAACTTCCATTTCTTACGAGGCCAGATATGAAAGACAGACCTGGTGTGGCCCACATGCGCGACCAGAGTGATTGGCAAACAAGGGTGTCTCACCTGATTTCGAACACAAGCGCCTTCCAGCGTATTTAGGCATGCACAGTGAATACCGTGGTTGCTGGAGAGAATTCTACGGGACGGCTTACCAGTGAAGCTTCACTTACTATGTGCTAAAGGAGTTGGAACAATGTCATAGCAAATCTCCTAAGAATGAAGGGAAGGAGGCCTTACAGCATGTGCTAGAAAGCAAAGACAGCTTCTCTAAACCGGGTGGTTCTTAAACCCAAGTTAAGTCTTCTACCTGTCAGCCTTGATAGCTTACTTGGGCAGAATTGTTAAACGGGGTGTGCCGTGCTCGTGTTGGGGTGGGTGGACATGCGGTGGAGACAACATTTTGAACACCAGGGAAGTGTGGCAGGTTTGTGCAGAATGCCCACATTCCTTATAGGCGGATCGCGAAGGGCATGGCCCCCACATCGGTAAGGGGCGCCCTGCAACCCATGTGGTCTGTTGGCTCAATGTCTTCATCAATGAGTCAATGCATTAAATTAAGAGAATATCCCTGCCAGCTTTAGGATGCCCCCAAAGACCCTCCTTCCACTCGGCCTATATTTTAGTTGGAAGGCGAAACACTGGACATAAAAAAAATAATAATCATCATCATGGGTGCTGCCCCCTAGTGGTGGTATTGGGCATGCACTCCCTCCCAGTTTCTTAATTTCTTAATGGCTTACATTTCCCTAACCCAAAGCGGCAGGCTGCAAACGGTCCTGAGGGGTTAGGAATTCATGATCCGAACCCCGGGGGACACGATTCAGTCCATTACAGGGAGAGATGGCTCGGAGAGGGCAAGGCGTTCTCTTGGGGTGTGAAAATATTCTAAAATGCACCATGCTGATGGATGCACTTCTCTGAAGATACCAGAAGCCAATGAATTGTCCAGTTTCACTGGGTGAATGGCCTGTCTGGCAAGTACAACTGGGCAGGCTCAGCACGGGGAAGGAAGATCCCTGCATACACAGGGCAGAGTTCTGCTGCAGTCGGGAAGACTGCAACCAAAGGGGGTAGGCCCGGGTCTCTGTAGGCCAGTCCCAAGGTGGGCAGCTACTGCAAGGCAGATTGTGTGATACTGGGGTGGTGGGCTTCCTAAAAGAAAGGGAATGAGGTGCTTTTCTTCCTTTTCTCCTCCTGTTGCATAGACCACGCAAACATCATCGTCCACATGTTTGCCAGCAGGGATGGTGTAGAAGCTTGCATACTGTGAATGTGCACTAAGCTCCCCCCATGGGTGAATAGCAGCCCCAGGGGCAGAGCTGCTACATCCTAATCCCCAGTATTTGTGAATAGGACCTGTGACTTGGAAACGGGGTCTTTACAGGTGTAATTAGTTAAGGATCTGAGATGAGCTCATCCTGGATCAGGGTGGCCCTAAATCCAATGACAGGTGTCCTTGTAAGAGACAGAAGAGACACGGACACAGAGGAGAAGCCACATGAGGACGGAGGCAGAGTTGGGAGGAACACGGCCATGAGCCCAGGGATGCCTGGAGCCCCAGAAGCTGGAAGAGGCAGGAAGGACCCTCCCCTGGAGCCTTGGGAGGGAGCATGGTCCTGCCCCACCTGGATCTCAGCCGCCCTTCCCCACCTGGATCTCAGCACCCCTGTCCCGCCTGGATCTCAGCACCCCTGTCCCGCCTGGATCTCAGACTTCTGGTCTCCAGGACTGAAACAGAAGAAATTCCTGTTGTCTAAAATTACTCCATTGGAGGTCCTTTGTTCAGGCAGCCGTAAGAAAGGAATACACCCACCCACCAGGGTGCCACGTTGTTTGAACATTTCAGTTTAGGACCCCGCTTCCCGATCAAAAAATAATTTCTTGGGTGTTCAGATCTGATGCGCTAAGGAATTTCCCACTACAGGCCCGTTTTAAATGCCATCATTCAGCCAGATGCAGCCCCTCACACACACATACACACACACACACAGCACCAGGACCCCCAGCATCACCAGGACATTATACCTGAGCGTATCGTTCCCATAGCAACCAAGATCCCCAATGCCAAGATCGTCTGCCATTATCAGTAGAATATTGGGTTTAAAGGCATTTGCAACATTTAACTCGGAAGTCCTCGAGAGCAAACATAGAGGGAGTAGAACCGACAGAGAGTCCCTGGAGAGACAAAAAAAAGGCCAAAATTCACGTCGAAGATCTGGAATGCTCAGTCGGTATTTCAAAGCGGCTTGCTGGGAAGGCACATGCATTTGCCCTAAATTAGGATTTACCAAGGGATCCCATCTAGGTGCTGGTTCCTTTTGTTCTGACTGCTCGCACATTAACACGCGGAGCAGAAAACGGGAACGCGCGAGGGTTTTGTCCAGGTACCTCCTCCCCTCCCCTTGGTCATTAATCCTGCTACTTGTGTGGGGCGCTCCCTAAAGGGCAGGATCAGAGGGCTGAGCGCTTGCCTTCCGGGCCGCGCCTTCCTCCCTTTCCCGGCGCACAGGAGGCCAGAGCGCGCCTTCCGACCCCGGAGCGACCGCACAGGAGGGAGGCGGACCCAGAGGGCTGGAGCAGCGGGAGACACGCATTTTAAAAGGAAGAATGTGGGATTCAAAGCACCCCAGCCACGACAGGGAGACACAACACGGGCCTGGAGCGCGCGTTGCCAGCGAGGCCGGGGCGCACCCGCGACTGCGCGGGACAAGGGATCTGGGGGCGTCCCGGACGCGGATCCCCGGCCCTGCCCCCCCCATAAACCGGGAGGGACGCGGGGCCTGGAGCGCCCTGATCCTTATTCCTGGCTCCTGGCTGGCAGCTCGAGCGTGCCCCGGAGTCCCCCGGCAGGGCCCCCAGTGCTGTCCGGTCCCCTGATTGCGCCCTGGTGCGCCAGCAGTCCGCAGCACGGGGACAGGGACTTGGAAGGCCCGGCGGGACAGGGCCTGGCGCAGGGTTGAGGGGGCGGCCGCATTCCGGGCGGGGAGCTGGCCTGGCGCGTCTTAGAGGGCGGTGGGGAGGAGTAGGAGGGGGCACGGCCGCGCTCCGGCGAAGGAGTCCTGGGGGACTGCGCATGTTTTTAGGGTTGGGGCTCGGGCTGGGGGACCGGGCCGGGCAGGGGCGGGGCCGTGCAAGGAGGAAGAGGCGCGCTCCGGGAGGCGGGGACCCAGGGGCTGGACCGGAAGTGTCTCAGAGTGGGGGAGGGTGCGGCCGTGCTGGGATGGGGTGGGGGACGGAACGAAGCGGGGCTGGGGGAAGGAAAGGAGTGGGGCGTGGGGGGGAACGTGTGCTAGAGAGGGAGACGCCGCCGTGCTGTTGGGGGGTACGGAATCAAGGCGGGGGCCGGGCGTGTCGTAGAGAGTGGGGTTTGTGGACACGGCCGCACTCCGGGGGTAGGTGGCTGGGAGCACGTGCTAGACCCAGGGGGCACGCCGCAGCGCTCTGAGGGGGAGAGTGTTTGGGGGGCATGGCTTGCTCGTGGGGGGTACTCGGGACGAGGGAGCGCGTCCTACGCAGTGGGGGATGGGAACCAGGCCTCTCTCTGCCGGGGCGTGGCCTCCGCGCACCAGCCCGGCGGTTCCCCTTCCGCTGGCCGCCCCCCACTTCCCTCCGTCTGGCCTCGTCTGCCCTCCCCTCCAACCAGCTCTCTGGTCCCGCGCCCCTCCGACTGCGAGACGGACGTCTAGCTGCGTTCTGGTGACTCCAAGGCGCGCACACCGCCCGCGCGTCCCGGAGACCACTCTCGCGCAGTGTGCACCTCCCCAAGCCCCCATCCCCGTCCCGAGTGGGGGCCGCGTCCTCGGGCCCCGCGCACCTGACTGCTGGCGCGCTGCGTCCCCTCGGAGCCCTGGGTCCCATGGCCGCGCGCGGGCCGGGCGCGCAGGACCAGGTGCCGGGACCCGCCCACGCAGCGGAGCCCTGCGGGCGGGAGGGCCCGGTCCCGCCCCAATCTGTTTAATCTCCTGTCGCCCCGGGCCTTCCGGGAATTGATCTTGGAAACCGGTTTTCCGAGTCCCAGTCGCCTCCGGGCGGGCACTCCCGGGAGACTGGGGTGGAGGAGAGGATGCTAAATCCCGGCTGGGCCTGCAGCAGCTCGGGGAACCCCAGCAGCCCTCGGCCAGGGAGCCCCCTTTTCCAGCAAGCTCTCGAAAGGTCTGGGGATTGGCCGCGTGCAAGCAGGCTGCCTGGATGCGAATTGTTTCACTAGGGTCCAGGATGCCATCCCCCTTCTCTATGGCCAAGGTGGGGGCAGGGGTTAGATGTGACCTAGGCTAGTTAGACCCGCACCCAGGGACTTGACATCGGGGGTCTACCTGGTGGTCATATCCACGTCCTGGACCCCATTAGCTGCCCCGAGGTCTCTTTTTCCCTTTCCAACTCAGTTCTGCATTTTGTGGAGATAGTAATTGCGAATTAAGGTTTGCCAAAAGCTTGGGGGTTGGGTTGGGTTGCCTTAACTCTCCTGGGGTGTTTCTTGAAAACTCATTTCTGAAGGATCTGTCTGGAGAAAAGACCTTTTTGCCTTTGAATTGGCAGAGGTAGTTAGCTCACATTTCCTGAGAGGCCTCGGCAGAAGCCCACCCTGTCCACGCCTTGATCTCGGACTTCGCCCATCCAGAGCTTTGAAGGGATAAATTTACGGGGTTAAGGCTACTGCCTCGGTGGTTGTTTTGGTGGCCTCAGCAGAGTGATAGTGATGGGGCACAGGGGTGTGTGTGTGCAGAGAGAGGGACTTGGGTGCGGGGTCTGGAATAAAATCCCCGTCCTGCCGGTGTCCCATCCTGGGCATGTCCAGTGCAAAGCCAGTGACCTGGGAGCTTGGTCTTCATGCAGTGACCTCCCAATTCAGAGCGGAAGAACACTGAATACCCAGCACAGCCCCCAAATTCTGGGTTTCCCTAAATTTCTAAGGCAGCCATTCACTGAGAATAATCGCTTGAAAAGAGTTAATAAACCTACACTCTTTAAATTGGCCCCTGTCACACCTTCTCAGGGCTACTTATACTTGGTGCTCACCTGGCCTTTGTCTGCAAATCCATTTGGTACAGAAATACCTTCCACTGGGACTGTGAACTCTGGATAGGGACAGAGCAGCCTCCTCCAGGTGGGGCTGGGGTCCGGTGATGGAAATCCCCATGGCCTGAGGGGCTTTACTCCTCACTTCGTTGTTGGGGGGCAGGGGGCCTGAACAACCCTTCGGTGGTTTGGTTTACTTGGGGGTGACTGCATGCCGCTGCGTCTTCCTTATACCTTTTGTGTTTTGAAGTGCAAAACTATTCCACCCACGTAAACAGACGACGACTGAACTTCACCGGGGAGTTGTATTTCGACCAGAAGTGCAGGGATCAGGGAAGGAGCTAGCTCTCCCTGGCAGGCAGTGATTCTGGGTCTCCCTCCCAATCACACCAGCAGAGGGGGAACCGGCCGCAGCAGGGCTGGAGCCAAGGTCTCCAGATGTTGCCCCACGTGTCCAGCTGCAGAGGAACCGGGCTGAGCGTCTGGCGATGCTCCTCCACGGCCCATGCGACCGTGTCCATCACCTGATAGAACAAGGGCTCCGTGTCCGGGGTGAGGGCGTGGGCTTCGGAAGGGTCTTTGGACAGGTCGAAGAGCAAAGGTGGGTTGTGATGGGCCACTTGGTCCCCGGAGCACGGGCAGACCCCTCTCCCGTAGCAGGCGCTGGCTCCCTCTGGGTGGAACACTGGGGTCGTGTAGTGGACTTTCCATAGTCTTCCTCCTGAGGGAAGGACAAGAATCTCAGAAGGCTGACGTGGAGAAATAGAATGCATTGCTGGAGAGAAGCCCAGATAAATGGACGAACAGATGTGGTCCACCCACACCATGGGATGAGATTCAGCCATAAAAATAAATAAAGCTCTGAGACCTGTGGATAAACCTCAAAAACAGGATGCTCAGTGAGAGAAGCCAGACACACAAGGCCACAGAGTGCGGGATCCCATTTGTATGAGACGTGCACAACAGGGAAATCCATAGACCCAGAAAGGAGATGAGTGGATGCCAGAGGCTGGGGAGGAGAATGGGGGGTGAGTGCTAATGAGGACAGGATCTCTTTGGGGGAAGGGAATGTTCTGGTACTAGATACAGGTGATGTTTGCACAACATGGTGAATATGCCAAATGCCCCAAAGTTGTACATTTTAAACGAGTGAATTTTACAGTGTGTGAATGTTAGGGACTGAAATCGTGTCCGTCCGAAATTCATATATTGCATCCCTGACCCCCAACAGAATGGAATTGGGAGGTGGAGGCTTTGGAGATTAACAGGTCACAAGGACAGAGCCCTCAAAAATGGGATGAGTGTCGTTACGAGAGTCAGAACAGAGCTTGCTTCCCTTGTGTGTCTCCACCACGTGAGGACACAGCAAGAAGGTGGTAGTCTACCGCCCAGCAGGAGCCCATCTAAGGGTGTCCAACCCCCAGAACTGGGAGAAGTAAGTTTGTTGTTTGTAAGGCACCAGTCCCTGGCGGTCTGTTAAGACTGAATTCCGGCTCGGTACAACTGTTTGCAAAGGAGGGAATTCCTCAGGTCTTAGGTAGTTCCAGGCAGGATGCTCAGAGCCTTAAAATGGCAACAGCTGTTCTCCTGAAGCTTGCTCCAAGGCTCCTGGCAGCTAGCTAGGAAGGCAGCCACAGGAAAACATCGGTAGGCAAAGGAAGGGAGGGAAGGAGGAAGGAAGAAAGGAAAGGGGAAGGGTGGAGCAAGTCACAGCAAACCACCTCCAGCCTCTGGGAGGGCACCAGACCGAGCTCTGCCTCAGGAAGGGACTTTGAAAGAATGGAAGGAGAGACCATGGAGGTCCCTGCACCAGCCTCCTGCCCAGAGTTGGGTTGTCCTAGCCGCACAGCCTAGCCTCCCTGGCTTCCTGCTGCTTCGGGAGGGAGGCCTCCATGCCCATCCTTTGTATCCGCCACAGGGCAGTGAGTCTGGGGAAGTCATGTGTGTACCTGGAGGGTAGAGAGCAGGATTCTGGTGGGCCTGCCTCCTCCAGGAGCAGCTCCAGGGGCAGAAAGACCAGGAAGCAGGGACAGATATGGGTCAGGATCAGGGCTGCTCCTGGGATCTAAGAAGGAGGCCAGGAAGCACAGCCCTGTGCACCTAGCAAGTGTGTGCAAAGGAGGGCATGCCTCCTTCTTTCCTACCCCCTGCCCGAGTCCTGCTCCCTGGGGTTGGCACCACTGTGCTTTGGTATTTACAGACGTGTACCCTGTGATTAAAATCTCTGGCTTCTGTCTGCCTCTGAGCACTTATGGTGACCTAGCAGCTCCCAGCTTGCTCACCTGTGACCTGGGGATAGCCATCCTCATCTGCCATTGTTTCCAGGGTGAAATGGAATACTATCCATCTCATGCTCATTAAAGGTCACTCATTGCTATCATAATTAAGCAAATGTGTTGAGCACAGAGAAGACAGACAAAATCTTAGTGAGGGGAAACAGGCCCAACTGTGGTAAACACACAGAAATAAGAAAACTGTGCAGTGTGGAAGACGATGGTGAAGGTGTGAGTGTGTGGGGGCCATGGGTGCACCATGGGGGAATTGTTTGGGTCAAGAAAGCCTTGCTGAGAAGGTAATATTGCATTTGAATATCAGGAATGAGCCAGTCCCATGGAGATCCTGTCCCCCTGTGAGTGTTCTCAAAGATTTGGGGGGGCTAGCTCATAGGACAAGGAGGAATTTGGAGGAATTTGTTCCGATGTGTGTGCTGCGGGTGGTCTTGGGATGGCTTTCAGAAGGGAGCTAAGTGGATTATGCATGTAGGATAAACAGTGGATCTGTGAAGGCCAGTTAGGGTGCCACTGAAGAGGCTTGGGTAATGGGAATACACTCCCCATCTACTCCCCTTGAAAAAATACAGAAGTATTCACCCAATGACTGAGAGATGAGGGGTCAGTAATGGGGTAGCCACAATGTACAAGAACAGATTTGAACACTGGACCCAGTTATTTGTGCTGCCAGGCATGCATGGATGTAGACTGAGATGTACAATGGAATGACAGTTTTTAGAAAACCCCCCAAAAGGGAAGGAAATGTGTAATACATAATTTAAAAAAAATGAAAGGTAACAATAAAAGCCTTACCAGATTACAATAATATTGAAAAGAATGGATGTAAAGGGAGGGACATTCAAAGAAAACAAAGTCTATGGTAGCTTCCTCAAATAAGGGAGATCCCAAGAGGTATTTCTTCACTCTTGATTCAGAGGGCCAAAGACTTCTAGAGAATAGGAATGGAAAGATGAGTTAAATCACAAGGAGAATACAGCCCTGCCCAAACACTGGAGGAAAAAAGAATCACAAAACCTATGCAATCACAAAGTCACAAATCTAATCAATCTGTAAGGCAAATCCAAAAGACAGGAGAAAATATCAGGAAACGACAGAGTAATAGGGAGATGGAAATGACGAAAAGCCACTCGAATAGGTGAAAACTCTGTTATCAGAAGATAAAGGTAGCAGCAGAAATCAATTATGTATAAAATTTAAAAATAACAGTTCTTAAGTAAATGCAAGAACTGAGTTTTTAAAAGAAAAATAATCCCTAAAAACAGAAAACCTCTGGGAATGACAGTTAGGTGAAGATGGACAATAGATTCATATAAACATGGAGGCAATTAAAATACAATGAAATTACTTGGGACAGGAACAATATGCTTGATGAAAGGAATACTTTTTAAATAAGAAGAATAAGTGGAGGGACATAACATGTTTCAGTTGGGAAAATCTGATACTGTAAAGATAACCAATCTTTTTCCTGAGTTAATTTACATATGGGATGCAAAGCCAATTCAGATTCCCATGGGATTAAAAAAAATCTTGCAAATGATTTTACAGTTCCTTTAAAAGGCCAGTTGGGCCAAAATAACCCAGGAAATTTTGAAATGCAAAAATTATTCAGTATGGGCTTTGCTGCTGAGGTCACAAAGTTATGATTATTACAAGGATGAAATCATGTCATCGAGTGAAGGTGGTTGAGACAGGTGGAAACCAATGTAGATTAAGAGCACAGGCTTCAAAGGTGAGAGGCAGACTGGAACACTTGTGTGCAGGAAAGCCATATGAAAATCCCCTAAGCAATGGTTATGTGGTGATAAGGTGATTGACGGCTTGCATCAGGAATGATGTTGCTGAAGTCAGGGGAAGGTACTGCTAAGGAAGAGAGAAAAGGGCTAGTGTGAGGAAGAGCCATCAGAGCAGAAGCCAAGATGTGACTCAGTCACCCAGAGTACTCACCGTCCCGTTGGAGCCAGCGGACTGCGTGCAGGAAATTCTCACAGTAATGCAGCAGGAACTCGTGGTCAGAGTGCTGTGCTGTCCCCAGCAGCAAGGGCAGCAGGTCCCGGCCATCAATCACCCTGCAGACAGGAGCACAGGGACTCAGGGATGCTGGAAGTCTGCATGGAAGGCATGCTCGAGCCTTAGCAATTAGGGAAGCATTGGAACAGCCACCTCCATTATTAATCTACAAACACCACCTTTGGCTAAAAGATCACCAAGGATCCAGCATGCTCGGCTTAAGTTATTACCTGCCCAACCTTACTAGGAATGCAAGAATAAGCTGAAGATTCACTGAAATGCGTTTTTGGTTTTATACTGTATTGGACTCTAAGCCATTATAGTATATGGTGTATTCTTCATCAACACTGGGTACCATTTCCTTGTCTGCAGAGTGCCTTGCCTCCACACCCCTCCTCCATCCCTGCCTGCCTTGTCTTCCTCCCCCTTCCCTTCCTTGTCTTCTTCAGTTTCCAAGATCCAGCTCCATTTCCATTCAGGATGGAGGTTTCTTGGGATTCCATTTCCATTTTCTCCGCCCTTCTTAGGAGAAAGCCTAAATCCACCACTTGTAATTTGAGGGGATGGCCCTGAGCATTTTATGTCCCAGGGACGTGGTCAGTTTTCAGGATCTTGTGTGTCAAATGTAAATCCTCAGTCCTGAGGATAGATTTTTACAAATGCCATGAACTTAGAAAAGCCATAAAAAAGGGATCTTTTTTCCTAATTTGACTAATGTTCTTCATCGAGGTAGAGAATTCAGAACCCCTGTAGATTTTAATTAGAGTTACCAGTTACCACGAAAAATGAAATAAAAGAATCTATTTATCGACAAATTTTTATTTTCAAAGCAAAAGATATGTTATATATTAATTTAAAAATTAGCACCCACTTAGGAAAAAATAATCAACCAGAGATATGATATTCAGTGCAAGAAAAAACAGGAGAATATTAAGGTATGAAATATTCAACCTCTCTAAGGATAAAACAGTGGAAATTATAATATACACATATATGTATATTTGTATAGACACGTATGAGTAATTTATATATATATTACATGTACAGAATTTATATTTATTTTAGTTCTGTTATGTTTTAAAATAGACATCTCACATATGGCTAGTAGTGATTCCTAAGGAACAATTTGACAAAATATATCAAGAGATTTACCTATAAACAGTCATACTCTTTGACTCAGGAATTCACCCTCTAAGGGATTCTTACTAAGGAGGTAATTATGACAGGCAAAAACATGACAAGAAGGTATTTTTTTTAAGGCAAGGCTAATGTCCACATATAAGGGGATGGTTGAAAGAAAATAACATAAAGGCATTAAATTTTTTTGTCTATGCACAAAAATTTCTAAATATATATATTTGCATAAATATATATAAAACATGGAAAATATATCTAAATGATATATCTAAATCTACATATCTAGACCGATCTAGATAGATCTAGATCTAGATCTAGATAGATGATATACATCATACAATATGTAACTTATGAGAATCCCACATTTATTATTATATGATTGCATAATAATTATGATTATATATTGTATACATAATTTATTATCAGATTCTGAAATAATTTTATTTTCTATTTCCCCCCAAAGTTTCTATAATTTTTTAGACAGAGGAAATTGGAATCTATGCAAAATCTCGACCACACTACATGAAAAGGAATTTCCTGTGGTAAATTGTTAGATTTTTTTCAATGACCACCATAAAAAAATGGCTCCACTTAAGAATCAGGAGAAGGAAAATGGACATTCTATGTATAAAATGAAGCAGACAGCTGAGCCCGGTAGCTAATAGCAAGGAGCCTAGAGTGTTTTCCCAGAGACTAATCTCATGGATGTGTTACACAATTCAAAAGTGACAATGACATTTCACATATATGCTTGTCTCTATGAAAAATTGAGTTGCTTGGGTTTCCTCGGGCTGTTCTGTACCTGTCCTGGGGCACCTCACCGCCCCCCAGCTGGACCACGGTGGGGAAAACATCCATCAGGCTGGTGGGCTCGTGGATCATTTGGCCAGCAGGCAGCACCCCAGGCCAGCGGAAGATCCCTGGGACACGGATGCCGCCTTCCCAGCCCCCCATCCCTTTGCCACCTGTGTGTAAACATGAACAGAAAAGAATGTGATTGTGCCATGTTTTTTTTGGCAGCATGCTTTATAATCTTTGGGATACACCCAATAATGATGTGTCTGTAGTTGATAGAATTCCAGTTTGAATATGATGTGGCCACCACTCTCCTTGGATGCATTGCCTAATTCCTGAGTCCATCCCACTTGATGAATGGATAATCAAAATGTGGTTCATCCATACAATGGAAGATTATTCAGCCATGAAAAGGAATGAAGCACTAACACTTGGCACAATGTGGATGAACCTGGGAAACATCGTGTGAATGCAAGCCAGTGGCCTAGGACCACATATTGCATGATTCCATTTACATGAAATGGTTACAATAGGGAAATATACACAGATTGAAATAAGTCAGTGGTTGCCAGGGGCTGGGCACAGGGGGAACCAGGGAATGATTGCAAATGGGTACGAATTTCTTTTTGTGGAGATGACCATGCTCTGCAGTTTAGTGGTGATGATGATTGCACAATTCTGTGAATATACCAAAAACCACTGCATTGTGCTAAGAAAAAAAAATCAAGTAGGAACATGACAAATTATAAAAAGCAGTAGTCCCTGGTGACTCTTGAGGTGGATGGACCCATTCCATGGGAAGGGTTGGGAACTAGAGGGTGGGGTAAAGACCATACACAAGAATCTGGTCATCTCTCTACCTTTGTAGATTCCATTCCAGCCGCCATACTGGTTGTTTCTGAGTTGAGCCTCTAAAGATCCCCCATGATCCGATGTAAAATAAACAAGGGTGCTGTTAGTCAAACCTTCCATATCCAAAGTAGCAAGGATCTGCCCTGCAAAGAATACATGTATTTGAGCTGGTCAAAATGGAAAATTATCTTAAACCAAAGTACTCAGTGTGTGCTTCAACGTTTTGGACCTCTCCATGAGAATGAGCCTTTTAGTGTTAACATATAATGGTAGTAACTAGCAGTAAAATCATGCTATCCTGAGTATCACTGACCCAAGATTCATATATGCCCTATTCTGTTTCCAAAAAGTTTTAGGCAAGCTACAGGGTATAGACTACATAGGACAAAACAGCAAAAACTTAAAAAGGAGGCAAAAGAAGATTATAGAGTCAACCATACTTCAATTAAACAAAGGGAAAGAGGGGAAAAAAAGGAAAGAGATAAACAGGGTCTAGGAAAAAGGCTGACAATGGCATTCACCATGTATGTCCATTGATGAAGAATAGTTTACACTGTGGCTCCAAGTTTCTTATAGTTACATGAAAGGGAAATCTTATGGTTGATGCAATTCACCATGTCTATGAGATTTTTTTTTTTAATTGGATGGGAAGAATCATATTATTTTATTTCTAACAGTAGACAAAACTTTCTTTTTTTTTTTTTT